TATTTTAAAGCTAAAAATGAGTGGACATATTCACCAGAGACGTGCATATGGGCTATCACTGGAATAGTTTTCCAAAAAATGTATATAGGCCACTGATTTTTTAGTGAAATAGTGTAAGCAGTTTAATGCCGATTATAAGTTGTGTCTTGATATTTTATCGATTTCGGCCTCCTTGATGAGATAAACGCAATTTTATTAATTTGCCTTGATCCAAGTCTAATAGCAACCTTTAAAAAATTTTGATATCATTAACGTTTTAAATAAGTACTCATTGGTTCCTCATGAAAAAATATAAAAAAAGTTCCCATAAACAAGGTATGGAAATGCATAGTTTTAGAGTTACAGGATGTTAAAACTTTTGAAAATTAGTTTTTTTGCGGGGGTCAACCGCTGACATATTTCTGTACACTAATACCACGAATAACGCCAAGAATGCCAACTAATACCACGACTAATACCACTAATACCAAATAACGTCAACATTATTTAGTACACCAAATTACACCAGCGGTTTACCCATCGGCTGTATTACTGTAATTATCTTAAATATAATTATTTTTTTATTTAAAATTGCTGTAGCTTGGACTAATAGTAATAATAACTAATAATAATAATACCGTTTAATAATACATTAGGTAAAATATATAAATTTATTAATTTAATTTTTAATTTTATTTCATTAGTTAGGATTAATAAAATTGCGTTTATCTCATCAAAGAGGCCGGATTCAACAAAATATCAAGAGATAACTTTTAATTGGCATTAAACTTCCTACACAATTTTGATATCAAAAGAAAAAAAGTCAGTGGCGCACATGTTTTTTTTGAAAAATATTCCAGTGATAACTCATTTGCACGTCCCTGATGAATTTATTGGCAATTTTTTAGCATTAACATATGTAGCACTTATAGTAACTTTTACCCTCAAAATTTCATTCGAATCACTAAAAGTACTTGGAAGAAAATTATAATAAATCGAAAGATTATTAAGACTTTAACACCCTGTAGCGACGAAACAAAGCAGAATCGGACCTATGTTGATTTGAAAAATAAATCTCATTTTTACGTGAGGAACTCCCCACGAGAGATGGCACATGTTTTTTGAAACACCCTGCATAGTGCTAATACATATTATACAAATTAATTTTATCTGCGTGACGTTTGTAAACATAATCGAGTGAATGTACCATAGATATGCATAAAAGGTAGACTAAGCAGGGTATACAAGGTGGCAATGCAAGATGCAACCTGCAATATGCAAGACGCAACGGGCAATACGCAAGACGCAACGCGCAAGATGCAATACGCAATACACTAGACGTAAAACGCAACACGTAACACAAGACGCATCATACAATACGCAAAACACAACGGGCAACGCGCCAGACGTAACGACAGGAACAATAATATTTGAACCATCCTTATAAGGATTATTTATTAATATATGTTCAGTTTGCCTCAGAACTTCAGTACTTCCAATTTATGTACCTGCAAATATTGTTTCAAAAACATTAATAAAAACCAACGATCATGTTCTCGGAGCGAACACAACAAGCGGCGGGCCGTTCTCCAACTCGTACCTTCCCAATAATCGATCACGGCACATGGTAAACGTCATCTTTATTACAATCGTACCGTAATAAACGCGGCAATAAACATATAAAACCGTCCGTCGCGTCGGCCCAACGTCTCAAATTCAGCAAAACACGATCCTCCGCGCGCGCAATTTTATATTTATTTATTTTTAAAGTTGGCAATAATTAATGGGCCGGTCGAAGTCGCTAAACGACAGAGGAACGTAATGTCGTAACTACGTTTAGAGTAACAAGGAAGAGTTAGTTTAGTAACTATAGTATTTTGGTATTTTAAACAAGACTGAATATTTTCATGGTGTTAGTATTATATATAATAGCTCTAAAAGCCTAAAAGGCTCATGGCTTGATTGGTTATCTTTCTCCATTTGTTTCTGTCTTTTACCTTTATTCTCCACCCATCCACTCTTATCCTTCCCAAGTCCTCTTCTACATTCTTTTTCCATCTGATTTTTGGTCTACCCCCTTCTCTTTCCACCTATTTCGGGTTTCATTATTATACCAGGAATTCTTGCTTCAGCCATTCTTTCAATGCGTCCCAGCCATCTCAGTCTTTGTGCTCTTGCTACTTCCGTTATGCTCGGTTCCCGATATAGTTGCTTTAATTCTTCATTTGTTCTTCTGGTCCATATATTGTCTATCTTCTTTCCTGCAAAAATCTTCCTCAGTATTTTTCTTTCCCAAATCTCTAGCCTCAAACTTTCCGTTGCATTGAACGTCCACGTTTCACATGCATACAGCGTAACCATTCGAAACTCTATCCGCAAGGTATCGAATTCATTATTCTAGGTCGTATTTTTGAGTTTCTGTAGCCTTTTGTTACCGCTATAAATCTGTCTTTCTTTCAAGTACACATTGCCTTAGTCCCAGCTATCGTCAGTATCGTGTTCGAGAAATCGTCATATTTAAATATAATACTGTATTTATAGTAAACATGAAATTAATATTTACTTAATACGAACAATTATTATTTTCAGGACTATTTTACTCCAGTACATTTTTCGTGCACCCAGCTCTTACATTTCATGGACTGGATCATGCTCTCTTGAGAATATCCTTGAAGATTTGTTTTCTGATTGTAAATATATTTATGCTATCGAAATTTTATTTTGCTTTGCAGATTCGTTTTAAGTTAAATACTAGTTTTTCTTCTGAATCTCCTTTTTCGAAAGTTTCAATAATTATTTAAGTTCTGGAAAAATATAATGAGAGACATGAAAGTTTTCTAATATCCATATATTATCAATTAAAATGTTTTCTTCTCCTTTGCTTAAAACGGATTGTGGTCTCATTTTCATCGCGATAGGGTCTGTACAATAACCTTATCTCACAAAGTTGTTCTTAATGAATAAACCATTATTAACAGATTCAATCGTTTTAAGCGTGTTATCTGCGGAGCATTTAAGTTTTCTTACCTTATTATCTGATAATACCAGAAATCGTCACTCCCATGTCCTGGTATTCGTCATCTTTAATTAACATATATTTTCTTTAAAATCCTGAAACAAAATGGTATGACGGATAGTGGTACGCATATTCTTACTGTTTAAAATAACACCATTAAAGATAAGGTGTAGACATCCTAACAAAATTAATTCATCTACTTCCATGCACCAGTAACCGTCATATGTGCCGATTATTAGGACACCGCCAGTTTTATTAGACCTATAGTAATCGGCTCACAAAAATAAACTAAAAATATTCTTTAAATTTTGTATAATCGTTTAAAGACAGCATGTAGAATATCCATACAGGTTATTTAATATAAAACATGCATAATTAAACTTAATTTTGTACACTTCTGTAATGATTCCTGATCTACTTAAAAGTTTGGATGCCTTAAAGCTACGTTTAGACTATGCAAGTTTTGCTTGCGCAAGAACTTGATTACAAGTACTTGCTTAATATAAACTGTGTTTCAAGTAATTGCTCAACTGATTGTACAAGAAAAATTACTAATTGCAAGTAAAGTTAATCGACGGTCTACTTTTCTTGCATGCTAGGACTTGCAGAGCGAAAAATTGTAGACGTGTATACACGTTGTCCAGTCCTTGCAGTAGCAATTGCACGTAAAAGTGATGCCAAGCAGGTGGTCTGATGACCAAATTATGAGTTTTATAACAATTTACGAAAAGCACGAATGTTTGTGGAAAGTTACAAGTGAACGTTATAAAAATAAAAATGCGAGAGATCCTGCATTTGATGCTCCTAAATTTTGCCTTCGATTTATCCATGGTTTTACCCACACTGTTGCTTTTCGATTTTTCTTGTTTTTCTAACAAAATACGTAATTCATCACTTAACGCATGACATAAAATATTCACACCAGATTTAATAATCACGATGGTCTCCATACTTCTTGTATCAGAACTTGACTAGTGTAAACATACAATTTTAAAATTATCAAATGCAAGTACTTCCAACCAAGTATTTGCGCAAGCAAAACTTGCATCGTGCAAACGCCGCTTAACATACACGTTGTCGTGATCCTGGATTGGACCACCGTCGTCACCAATCTTGTAGTCGCTGCCACCAAATGTTGTAGTTCTCTATTTGACTCGTATCACCACTTGTTGGGAATGTTATTCTTTATTTTTTTTATAATTAAATTCTTACTAAGTTGTTATTACTTTTTATTTTTAAACTTTTAATACAAAATATAAATTTAGCAGTATTACGTCTATGAAAAATTTTTATGAATGTTCCCGGTCCCTTCTGTGACCGTGCTTTTATGAGAATGCCCTCTCCGAAAATCCACGGGCGTACCTACTACTATTTCTTAATAATATTTTCAGGTAGGTTTGCAAAGGGACAAACATGACCATTTCTTAAAGTAAATAGAAACCAGACATCGCGTCTGAAAGTAAACGAATTACAAAGGAAAACTAAAATGATGCAACTATTTATGACTATTTCTTCCAAATTTCATCTTAAGGTAATGGTTCTGTTTATTTGCATCACCCATCTTTCTGAGAAGAATAATAATGTTGATGGTATTTTTCGTACCTTAAATTCTTTAGGCATAGCCGTAGAATAAGGGTAAAAATAATATTTTATACAATTTGTCGAATATACATATACATATAACCATATTAAATGTATGTTCACAACACCTCCCCCTTAATGAGAGATTTCATGAGGTGAAAGTGATATGAAATCTCAAAACAAATGTTATATAATTAATTAGTATAACTCAGATGGAAATGAATAAAAGTACATATATAAAAGTATTATACAAGTCTTAACTACTAATTATAACTAACTTACATTCTAACTTAACTAACATTTTTTTTTATAACTATTGCAGATTTAAAAATGTATCAAATGCGGAAATTATTTTTCTTTTAATGGTCGCCTTGATGGTACATACCCAATGGGTCTGCGCGAGGGCGCCTGTAAATTAACATTCTCTTCTTCGGAGTTTTCATAGTTACCTACATTTTCAGAGTTTTGGCTAATATTACGATTATAATGAGCAACATATCTATCACTAATGTCGAATGGTGGAATAAAATCACTTGAAATATTGGACTGGACTGTATTTCCATGAGGGATTAGCATTGATGATGCGCTATAAGCTTTACATTGTTTACCTATAGTGACACTACCGCAATTTTTTAGTATTACATCTACGTGATTTTTTTTTATTATTACATGATATCGTAAGAGTTTCTGGATGAGGAACTGCAAATAACCAAGTGTTACTGGTAATTATTATAAATAAATTAACCCTAAAACAAAATATATATACTAATAATAAGCTAATTAAAATTTATTAATTCTAGTTTTTATAATCTATATATACTGATTATGTTTAGTTTTAATAATAAAAATATTTAATCTATTTGCATGAATAGTTTGTTTATTTTTTCCTTTTTGAATTGTATAATTTACATCTGATATTTTTTTTATAATGGTATATGGACCAATCCATAAGGCGGAAAGTTTTTTACTTCTGCCACGTCGAACTGATTCGTCGTAAAGTAACACTTTGTCACCAATTTCGAATATTCTGGTATAACTGTTTTTATCGTAATTATTTTTTGATATGTTTTTACATTTTAATAAGTTTTCTTTAGCTAATTGATTAGAATGTTGCATTTTTTGTTTAAGATTGTTTATGAAATCATCATAAGTATAATTGACTTTAGGTGGTTGTTTAACTGATGTTGGTAATGTAGGAATATGTCCGAATAAAAGTTCAAATGGAGAAAATTGTGTAGCAGTGTGAGGTGTAGTATTATATGTAAATGTTGCATAGGGAATCCAATTATCCCAGTCTGTTTGAGATGTCTTAATGAAGTGTCTTAAATATTCTTCTAGAACTTTATGAGAGCGTTCTAGTGCTCCGTTTGACTCTGGGTGATAACTTGTTGTTTGGATCTTTTTTATCTTTAAAAACTTGCAAGTACTTTTAAAAATATCACTTAAAAAATTTGACCCCTGATCTGTGACTAGCATGTCAGGTATTCCGTAAATGCATATAATATTCGTTACAAAATGATGCGCTACAGTTACAGCTTCTTGATTTCTCATAGGTATATTAATTATATATTTTGTTAAATCATCCTGAAAGGTTAATATGTATTTGTGACCATTTTCGGTTTCTGGTAGTGGTCCAACTATATCTAAAAAACATTTTTCGAACGGTTTTGATGCCGTGGTCGTAATTACCATAGGCATTTTTGTTTTTCGAGACTGTTTATTTTTTTGACAAAGTTCACATTTTTTTATAAACTCTTTTATGTCTTTTTTCATACCTTTCCATGTATATAATTGAGATAATTTTTTATATGTGCGGGATGACCCTTGATGACCTCCTAATGGACAATTGTGATTTTCATTTAATAATACAACTTTTTCAGCATCTGAGGGGTTGATAAGACTGTTGTTAAATATTGTAATTTCTGAATAGAGGTCTTTAAAAATATATCTTATCATAGGAAGAACGATTTCCCATTTGACTAATGAGTTGTAATGATATTTTATAAATGATAGTTCGGTTTTTTCGTTGGATATAATATTTCGTAAAGTTAGTAAGCAAGACCAAATATTTTCATAATTAATATCACTGAATGTATTTTCGTTGTCTGTTAATAGAAATATATTACAATTATTTTGTTGATACTGAAAAACTGACGGCATGTCTAAAGGATTTGTGTTATCGTAATGTTCTAAAAATGTATTAATTTGTTTATTTTTTTCTAGAATTTTAAAGTCGTTTTTGTTGAATAATTTTGGCAAAAATAAAACTATAGGTATAAGTTGTGGTGTTTCAAACAGATTTGTGTTTTTTTCTTTGACTTTGGAATTAATAATTATATGGCTTTCGAGATGTGTTTTAAAATTATCATAATTGGTAATAATAGAATTGACATTTGTTGTGCTAACTATTCTACTCAATGCATCAGCATTTGTATTAATCTTTCCAGCTTTATAAATTATTTCATAGTCATATTCTTCAAGTTTTATTCTAAAACGCGTCAAACGAGAACCAGGGTCTTTGATATTAAATATATAGAGTAGGGGTTTGTGATCTGTAACAATTTTAAATCTTGTGCCAAAAATATATGGACGGAAATGTTTTACTGCCCAGACGATTGCAGTTAGCTCTTTTTCTGAAGTTGAATAATTTTGTTCTGCTTTATTTAGAGTTCTACTAGCAAACGCTATTGGACGATCATGATTAACCTTACCCTGCGATAAAATTGCTCCTACTGCGAAATTACTCGCATCTGTTGTTATAATAAATTCTTTGGTAAAATCTGGGTATTGGAGAACAGGTGGAAAAGTTATACTATCTTTAAGAATTTGGAAAGAATTTTCGCATTTTATACCCCAATTAAAAACAGAATCTTTTTTTAATAATTCGGTTAAAGGTTTAGCAATTTTAGCGAAATTTTTGATAAATTTCCTATAATATCCTACAAGCCCTAAAAAAGATTTTATATCTTTAGGATTTTTAGGTTGCGGAAAGTTTGTTACACATTGAATTTTTGATGGATCTGGTTTAATGCCGTTTTCTGTAATAATGTGACCTAAGTATAAACATTCTTTTCGTAAAAACTGACACTTCGAAGGTTGAAGTTTTAAATTATGTTGTCTAAATCTTTGAAAAACTTCAATTAATCTATCGTTATGTTCATTTAAGTTGTTTGCATAAATTACTATATCATCTAAATAAATAAAGCATTTCATACCATTAAGACCGCTTAAAACTGTGTTCATGAGTCTTTGAAATGTGGCGGGAGCTCCTTTTAAACCGAAAGGCATTCTGTTATAAACGTAATGTCCTGTATTAGTGCTAAAAGCGGTTTTATTTTTATCTTTTTCGTCCATTTCTACCTGATGAAATCCACTAGTAAGATCTAAGGTAGTAAAATAATGAGATTTTCCTAACTGGTCTAAAATTTCTGCTATATTAGGTAGAGGATATGCGTTTCCAATGGTAATTTCATTTAACTTTCGAAAATCAACGCATACTCTAAATTTAGGTGATAATGGGTCGCTTTTCTTAGGAACAACTAGTAAAGGACTATTCCAAGGACTGTCCGAAGCGGAAATTACCCCGTCTTTTAACATTTGCTCAGTTTGTTCATTAATTATTTCTTTATGTTTGAAAGGCAATCTATAAGGTTTTACGTTAATAGGACCTTTATTACTTTCTGTCGGTATAGTGTGTTTTATTGTGTTGGTGCTTGTTAGTTTATCGCCTTCTAAGTAAAAAATATCGTTAAAATCTCTACAAATATCTAATACTGAATTAGTTTCTTCTTCATTTAATTGGTCTAGATTAATTTCTTTTCTTATTTTAGCAAAACGATCGATAATGTCATAATTATATGTTTCTATAAATTCGTACTCATTAAAAGAAATAGGTTCGACATTCACTCTAGGTGTATGGATAGTTTGAGCTTCATTAGAAATATTTAATATGCTAACTAAACATTTATAGTTCTGGACTTTTGTTAGGCTTGACCCTAGATATAAATGTTCGGATAATTGTTTTGAAACTACTATGCCTTCGGACGAAGATAAATTAGCTAGAGCAGGTACAATAATTTGACATCTCGCGGGAATTATTGTAGTTGCTTCTGACGGCAAAATTTTAAAAAAATTGTCTTCAAAATTAATGACTCCGTCTTCGTAATTTATTTTGGCTTTATACTTTTGCAAAAAATCGCGTCCTAATAGTCCATCACTTTTAATCGGTATACTATCTGGCACAATGTGAAAAGGATGAGTTATTGCTTTGTTATTGTTTAATTTAATTGGGATGTTACAAACACCTTTAGTAAATACAGGTTCTTTACTTATACCTTTTAATTCTATAATGCAAGTTTTATTTAATTTTAGATTATTTTGTAATAAGATACATTCTTTCAATAAAGATATATCTGCCCCTGTATCTAATAAAAGATGTAATTCTTTATCTTTTATATCTAAAGAAGGGATTTTAATTATCTCTAATTGTTGGTAACTATCGGAAAATAATACTGATTTATGCGGTATGTCAATTAAGTTTTGCTCAATTTTAATTTTATTTTTATGCTCAGGTAGTGTGTAATTCATAGAACAGCTATTATCTAATTTTAAGAAGCGCTTAATCGGCTGCTCGCGACCAAGGCTTCGCTCTCGTTTCCCGAAAAATTTTGAGATGTGCTCGGTTCTGAAAAATAATTATCTGCTGAATTGATTAACGACTGAGAATTTATAGTTTGAATTTGTTGTGGTGATCTATTATTTGAACTATTAAAATTGGTAGTACTGGATTCATTATTGTAATTAGAAAAATTTTGAGATTGTTGAGGTATCGAAACATTTTGCTGCCGTTGAGGAACTTGTGAGTTATTAAAATTTCTTGGATTCTGAGAATATCTATTATTGTAATTTGAACGAGGATTATTACTGTTATAATTGTTACCATAATTACGATTATAATTACGCACGTCGTTGTTCTGATTAAAATTTTGATTGTTGTAGTTTCGATTAGTGAAACGTCCTTGATTATATTGTACTGTATTTACGTCTTGTCTATTTGAAAAATTATTATTGCTATTAAAATTTTGCGGTGGGCGTGTCTGATTATTGCTAGGTACATTTCTATTATATGAGTTACTATTTTGTTCGTATTGCCTAAGCTGTCTACACTGTGATGTTAAATGATTATTTTTAAAACAAAATAAACAGGAATTATTAGAAGAATGATTATTTAATTGTCTATTTCCACGCTCTACAAAACCTATATTTTTAAAATGCGAGTTTTTAAACCTGTCATTATTCTCAAGTTCCATTTCAATTGCTAATGATAAAGCTTTATCTAAATATGTAGTATTTTCGGCAATAATACGCATTTGAATTTTTTCATCGTTGAGTCCTTTTCTAAAAGTATTGACTAAAATGGAGTTTAAATTTTCTATTAAAACAGTAGCTTCGTTATTTGCATAATTTAAGTGACACGTTTCTTTATATTTATTAAAGAGAATTTGTAATCTATCGCCATATTCTTTTACAGTTTCCCTAAAATGTTGCTTTATATTCATTATTTGTGTTAGAAAATGCGATGGTGGTGTTTTATCAGTAAAGTGCTCTCTAATAAGAAATCTTTTAGTTCTTCCCAATTTTGAAACTGTTTATATTGTGTTACCTCTTGTGCCTTCCCTTTTAATTTAGTACCAAAATTAAATCTACTAAGTAATTCTTTTTGATCCACTTTGACAATTTTAATATTGAATCACAATTTTTTAGAAAAATTGGAGTGAATTTGCGTCACCCTGACCATCAAATGAATTTATTAAATTCAGAACATCAGTTGCGTCTTTTACCTCCTGCCATTATTATATTTTATTAATGATTTATTACTTTAGTTTAAAATTATTATTTATTTTTATAGATGTATTTTTAGTTTGAAGAGAGAAAAAAAAATATTTACGAATTTTAAGCAATATTTTTTTTTTTTGTTATTTGCAGCCCAGAATTATTATTGTCTTAACTTAAATCCTAACTAACTAAAATCAGAAGAAAAACAGTAGCGTCACAATACAGTAAACAAATGAAAGACTTACCCCGTCATCATCTGGTGAAAACAAAAGCTTCCCTGGAGACTTGCTGCTGCGTCTGGCGCTCCTTCAGTGTCCCCAATGTCTACGTCTCGTGTCGGGCTTCTTGCTGCTTCTTGGTTTGCACCTTCAAGAACTGCCCGTTGCCTCTATCTTCTTCCAAAAACTGGTAGGTTTTCTGCTGCGTCTGGCGCACCTTCAGGAAACCTTGGTAGTTTTACCGCTGCCACCAATGTCGTGATCCTGGATTGGACCACCGTCGTCACCAATCTTGTGGTCGCTGCCACCAAATGTTGTAGTTCTCTATTTGACCTGTATCACCACTTGTTGGGAATGTTATTCTTTATTTTTTTTATAATTAAATTCTTACTAAGTTGTTATTACTTTTTATTTTAAACTTTTAATACAAAATATAAATTTAGCAGTATTACGTCTATGAAAAATTTTTATGAATGTTCCCGGTCCCTTCTGTGACCGTGCTTTTATGAAATGCCCTCTCCGAAAATCCACGGGCGTACCTACTATTTCTTAATAATATTTTCAGGTAGGTTTGCAAAGGACAAACATGACCATTTCTTAAGTAGAATAGAAACCAGACATCGTGTCTGAAAGTAAACGAATTACAAAGGAAAACTAAAAATGATGCAACTATTTATGACTATTTCTTCCAAATTTCATCTTAAGGTAATGGTTCTGTTTATTTGCATCACCCATCTTTCTGAGAAGAATAATAATGTTGATGGTATTTTTCGTACCTTAAATTCTTTAGGCATAGCCGTAGAATAAGGGTAAAAATAATATTTTATACAATTTGTCGAATATACATATACATATAACCATATTAAATGTATGTTCACAACAACGTTAAAGAACTTGCACAGAAGCAACAATCCTCCCAATCCAAGGTACCAAAAAGTAATGCAAAAACGAATTATGACAGCTATTATAAAACGCAAGTTATCAAATCGTTCAAATAATATCAAATCTTGAAATGCATTTTGATTTATTATTGTGCTATATTAAAATTCCTTCATTTTTGACAAAAACTGTGTTGTGAAAGAAAGTGATGAACGCTGATTCAGTACCGATTACTGGTACACTTAACTTAACCTGGAATGGGTATCCTCCAACGGTCTAAGATATTCGAAGAAATTTCTCAGAACTTACGACCGAGAAAAACAAATTTCTTGGATTTAAGCAAAGAACAATCTTCGGGAGTTTTTTAACAGGACACCTCAATGAACAACTCAGTAGATTGAAACTAAGGAACAACGGCGAATGCAGATTCTGTGGGGAAATAGGGAAAAACTAGAACTCCTCACCACTGAGTGAGTCAAGACGACAACCATTCGCGCCATAACCTTTAGTACGACTGATATCGGAGGCTCAGGCTCTATGATGAGTTATTATATATGATATATTATTACACAAGGGCGCGATGATCAACTTCCCTCCCTCCAATACAATCTACAACCTACGGAATATAAATATGGAAATTTCATTTATCACTCTGATGAATTATCGGGAATAACGTACGCATTTTCAATTTGTCGTCGCGAGATGGCGAGGCGTAAATAATGCGAAGACATCCGCAAAACCGATTTTTCCGCCGGCTTTATAGTCGGGAACGGACCGAGAACAGAGAATACAAGAGATCGTCGAACGACTTTGTAAAAATCATCTGTAATAGGTCGTATAATCCGTCCGAGGTAATGGTCTATGTTTATTAGTTTGGTACGGAACTTGATTCTCTTATTGCCTTAGAATTAACCGATGAGGATATTCGGCTGGGAAATAATGCCTTGATGGCATTAGTGAGAGTCGCAAATTTTAGTTTACGGACATTTACAATGTTTCAGTGATGTCTATACTTTGTAAACAAATTAAAGAATTAATATTTTTTGAACAAGAAAATTCTGAATTCTGAATTCATGGAAACAAACAAATTTATTACTCTTTAGACTTTAGACGTCAACTACAACCAAAAATCTAATCGGTCAAAGTAAATCGGCCAAAATAAATTGCTGAAAATTATTTAAAGTTCGAAAAATGTCCACTAGGTTCGCTAGTTCGAAAAATGTCCGTCTCTGATTGTCAATAAGAAAATAGGATTTTTCTCAAAAAATACAGGTGAAGCGGCATTTTAAATATTGCTACTGTAATCTATCATCATCATCATCATCATCATTTAGCTTATTCCGTCCACTGCTGAACAAAATCCTCCCTCAACTCTAGCCATTTCTTTCTATTCTGTGTCACTTGAATCCAGTTTCCAGCCACTCTCTTAATATCATCTGTCCATCGACTAGGAGGTCGTCCTCTGCTTCTATAGGCCTTGGTCTCCATTCCACAAGTCTCTTTGTCCACCGTCCATCTATTATCCTAGCCACATGTCCTGCCCAATTCCATTTAAGATGTAAGACAGATATTACCGCATCCCTTACGTTCAATTTCGTATGGTATGATTGGGTATTTTATCCCCAAGTGTAACTCCCAACATGGACGTTTCCATTTTCCGTTGCATGACCTGTATCTGATTATCATGATTATACCTGACCAATTCTATGTATGTTCTTTTTTGTAAAAGTCAGTGTTTCAGCTCCATATGTGAGGTCAGGCAAGATACACTGGTTAAAGACTTTCTTTTTAAATATATTGGAAGATCAGATTTCAGTATATGCTTTAGTTTACCGAATGCCGCCCACAACAAACCTATTCTTCGTAGAATTTCGTGTGTTTGATTATTCTTTCTAATACCGATCTCTATGTAATACCTGTTATCTATGCGAGATTTGTAATTTTTTGGATATAACGTATTTTGCTCTCTCATAAAATAAAGTGGTGGGGGAGGATTAAACTTGTTTTTTCTTTAAATAAGGATAACTCTGGTTTAGGTTAACCGATTTAAACAAACTACAACTCGTTTAAAAGAGTTTTTCTTTCTTAATAATATCCAGTACAAATTTTGTTTCCATAGATTTTTTCGCGGTAGCTAGAGGGCGCTGTTTGACATCATGAGAGATATTGCGCTTTTCAATAAAAAAAATTAAAGATAGGTTATGTTTCTTTTTGCACAATTAAATAGAGCACAACATTTCCAAAATATCAGCACAAACCGCATCTTTCTATGTTCTCTCTAACGGGAGATGTTAAGAGAACAAATCATGTTAGGCTAGGATTATTTATATCCTAGGCGACTATATTATATAATTAGGCTGCGTCCTAGTTCTAAAAATTATAATAGTAGGCTAGGAAATAAAATTAAAACAAAGAAATTAAAAAAAGTTAGGGTAACCCGAATCAAAAAAATTCGGCAACATATTCTGCGGATAAAAATTACTAACTAATAAAGTTCCTATAAATATATACAGGGAGAGTCTTAACTAAGTGCAAATATTTTTAGTGCTGGAAGATCGGTAGATCCCGATGAAAGAAACATATTTTCTCTTTATCGTTTTTCAAATAGGTTTAAAATAACCGAGTTAGTTAGCTTGAAAATGAAAAAAAAAAAATGAATTTTTGCTTAAATTTTCAGAACCGTTGGATCTTTTCTGCGATTTCTTTCTTGTAAATTTTATCTACTATCTATGTTGCCATATTATGAAGAAATTATGTTTTTTAACTAAAAGCTAAAAAAAATCCAAAATTCTTCTCAAAAAATTAAAAATTTTCAATTATTTTGGCGAAAAAAAAACTCTCATTATCGTGTTTTGAGGTCGAAATATACTACCCCTAAAAATATTTGCACTTATTTTAAACCCACCCTGTATATCCTAAAATGCTTCGTTTCGTAGATACAGGGTGTAGAAGTTTCATTTTTATTTCAGTTTTTTCCAAATAATTTCTAAATTAACGTCAATATATTGATGAAAATTGGTGTCTAGAGGTTTATTGGCATAAGAAATCCGATGTCAGTATGACTCCTACTTGCAGGGGGCGCCACCTACATACGTTTTAATTGTTTTAAAGAGAAGAAAAATACATTTCCACCGTTATTATACAATTAAACCCTGTTATGTTTGAAACGATTAAATATCCTATTATTTTTAATTTAATTTTATACCATCTATTTTATTGATGTTCTCTTCTTTTCGATCGCTTGTTTTATTAGACATTTTATCGCGGAAAATAAAATTAGAAATTTATCTTCTGTAAGCGGGTAAAGCCCGTAAAAACCGGAATATGCCACAGAGTAAATAAAATTGCCGACAATTTTAGCCGACGTTTACTGTAATATCGAGGCTAACTTTACGAACAGAATCTATCGGTAATGAAATTTGATATTTTAATAGAGTTTAGGTAATGCTTTGCCAATATTCAATAGCTGGAGAGAAATGCATTAAAATGAGTTAGGTATCGTACGGTCAGAGAGAATGTACAGAGTGTCCCATTTTGGTTGAAATCATACGGTATCTCCATTATTAGTAAAGATAGAACGATGCGGTTTGCACAAACCTGTGCCACTTTTTTGTCAAACGGAAACTGCTGTCAACAAAATTCTCTACAGGGTCTTTTCGAAAATCTTGCAATTTGGGACAGCCCCCGTATCTCTGTTATTATGGATGATATCGAGAAGGTGAAAACTGATTCTTGTAGAACTTTTTACGTAGAATACAGTGGCGTACATCCTGGCTACGGGTTAGTCGTATTTTAGCCATGTTTCGTGGCTAATCTTACTGTAGGTTACCCAATAATTTCATTCTTCTTTTTATTATAGTCCCCACGATAACGTCTATTGTTTATTGTTTTCTCTGGGCCAAGGTGATAGCGGCGAGGTATGTTGAAGTACCTCCGCAGCGGTTTTTTGGTAGTAACGCTTGCGAATTGTGAGCTACTGCTGAACCAGGTTGCAAATGGTGCCTAGTGCCTCGTTTGCTTCCCCTTTTTCTTTTTTCAGGATCGCGAGATCATCGTTGCTGATTCCTCCCGTATTGATGAAGCCGGAATGCAGAAACACTCAGTGTCTACGGGTAGTCGTATTTTAGCCAAAAAAATATATGTATTCTTGAAATCCTTCAATTTATTTGCTGTTAGTAAGAAGTTTGACTTCAAATATTCGCACATAGTGCACACACAATTTTTTTTTATTTACTGCTATTAACTGGTAAACAAACCATTACTTCAATTTCATTCTACTTTGAACTAGTGTACTTTTTTGGTTAGTTCGTGTTTACTAAACAAACAGGCTATTGTCCAAAAACCAATTAAACTTTTTTACCAGAAGAAAATCCGTAGAAAAACGTATATTGTTCTAGCGCAAAGG